CTATGTCTGTGAGTCTATTTCTGGTTTGTAAACAAGTTCATTTGTATCATTTTTTTCAGAGATTCCACAGTAAGTGAAATCATATTTGTGTGTCTCACTTACTTCACTTAATGTGATTATCTCTTTGTCCATCCATGTTGCTGCAAATGGTATTATTTCATTCTTTTGTTTATAGCTGACTAGTATTCCATTGTGTGTGTGTGTGTGTATATATATATATATGTATATATGTATATATATACACCACATCTTTATCTGTTAATCTGTTGATTCAATTAGGTTGCTTCAGTGTCTTGGCTATTGTAAATAGTGGTGTTATGTACAATGGGGTGCGTGTATCTTTTTGACTTAGAGTTTTCTCCAGTTATATGACCAGGAGTGGGATTGCTGGATCATATGGTAACTCTACTTTTAGTTTTTTACGGAACCTCCATACTGTTCTTCATAGTGGCTGTACCAATTTACATTCCCACCAACAGTGTAGGAAGGTTCCTTTTTCTCCACACCCTCTCCAGCATTTATTGTTTGTGGACTTTTTAATGATGACCATTCTGATTGGTCTGAGGTGATACCTCATTGTAGTTTTGATTTGCATTTCTCTGATAATTAGTGATATTGAGCATCTTTTCATGTGCCTGTTGGCCATATGTCTTCTGTAGAGAAATATCTATTTAGATCTTCTGTTGTTGTTCCATTTGTTGATTGGGTTGTTTGGTGTTTTTTGGTTTTATTTTTATTTATTTTTTTATATTAATCTGTATGAACTGTTTGTATATTTTGGAAATTAATCCCTTCTCAGTTGCATTGTTTGCAAATATTTTCTCCCATTCTATAAGTTGTCTTTTCATTTGTTTATGGTTTCCTTTGCTGTGCAAATGCTTTTAAGTTTAATTAGGTCCCATTTCCACAGCTAACATTATATTCAACGGTGAAAAGCTGAAAGCATTTCCTGTAAGATCAGGAACAAGACAAGGATGCCCACTCTCACCATTCTTATTCAACACAGTTTGGAAGTCCTAGCCACAGCAATCAGAACAGAAAAAGAAATGAAAGGAATCCAAATTGGAAAAGAAGAAGTAAAACTGTCAGTTTGCGGATGACATGCTCCTATACATAGAGAATCCTAAAGATGCCACCAGAAAACTGCTAGAGCTCATCAATGAATTCAGTTAAGTTGCAGGATACAAAATTAATGTACAGAAATCTGTTGCATTTCTGTTCACTAACAACAAAATGTCAGAAAAGAAGAAATTAAGGAAAAAAATCTCATTTACCATCACATCAGAAAGAATAAAGTACCCAGGAGTAAACCTACCTAAGGAAGCAAAAGACCTGTACTCTGAAAACTGTAGGACACTGATGAAAGAAATTGAAGATGACACAAACAGATGGAAAAATATACTGTGTTCTTGGAAGACTCAACATTGTTAAAACGACCATACTACTCAAGGCAATCTACAGATTCAGTGCAATCTCTTGTCAAATTACCAATGGCATTTTTCACAGAACTGAAACAAAAATTTTAAAAATTTGTATGGAAACATGAAAGACCTTGAATAGCCAAAACAATCTTGAGAAAGAAGACTGAAGCTGGAGGAATCACACTCCTTGACTGCAAAATATACTACAAATCTACAGTAATCAAAACAGTATGATGCTGGCACAAAAACAGATACTTAGATCAATGGAACAGGATAGAGAGCCCAGAAATAAACCCACTCACTTATGGTCAGTTAACCTATGGCAGAGGAGGCAAGAATATACAATGGAGAAAAGATAATATCTTCAATAAGTGGTGCTGGGAAAACTGGATAGCTACATGTAAAAGAATGAAATTAGAACATTCTCTAACATCATACACAAAAATAAACTCAAAGTGGATTAAAGAACTAAATGTAAGACCGTGTACCATAAAAATCCTATAGGAAAACATACTCAGAACACTCTTTGACATAAATTGCAGCAGTATTGTTTTGGATCTGTCTCATAAAGTAATGGAAATAAAAGCAAATTCCTTTTAAAATATGAATTATTTCTAAGTGCTTATGTAAAGGCAGACATTTTTCTTACCCATTTAGTTGGTAGGTAATTCACTTTTAGGTTATTTAAAGAACAACATTCAAGTTTATGATTTTAGAGTAGGATGAGATTACAAATGGTGGGTATATTTCAAAGTACAAGATTACTGGGGGAATAGTACACCACCCCCACCTTGGTTAAATGAATCATGAGGCTAAGGGAGATTTACTACTACACGCAGATCACCAGTGTTCTAAGAATCATACTATAATAAAATAAAATAAATCCTAAAGCACTTTAATCTTTGATTTAGAAGACAAGAATCTTGTAGGAATGTATTGCAGGATCTTCACTTAAGTGGTAGTAGTCCTTGTGTAGCGTGGTAGATGTGGAAGATGTTCCCACCTTTGCTGTGGTCTGCTCATGTTGATTGTTGATTTTGTGCTAGACCCTGTGCTGGCCGTTGGATACAGCAGGGAACACTGCAGACATGATGCTGTCCCTCAAGGAACTTACAGTTTAAGAGAGAGAATGCAGGAGATATGTCAGACTATACAGACCTCATAGGGTACTCTGAGAATTACTGTTAAAAATCTCGGTTCTACTTTATCTAAATTCTCATTTGTTTCTTGTATGAAAGCAAAATATACACTATGAAAAAAATTGCCATAAAGCAATTTGTAGAAACAGTGATTTTTATATCATGTGTAGTGCCTGCATAATTTGTTCTGGTGTTTGCACAGGTGGAAATTTACTAAAACTGAATTGATGTACTTAACAGGTTTTTTAATATAATGTTTCAGGCTTCACCTTGTGGGGCTCAGAGTATGCGTGGAACTGGAATGCTGTGGACGAGGGGCCGAAGAGGGACATTGTCAAGGAACTTGAAGTAGCCGTTAGGAACAGGACAGACCTGCGTTTCGGGCTATACTATTCCCTTTTTGAATGGTTTCATCCACTGTTCCTTGAGGATGAAGTCAGCTCATTCCAGAAACGACTATTTCCAGTGTCTAAGATGCTGCCTGAGCTCTACAAGTTAGTGAACAAGTATCAGCCTGAGGTCCTGTGGTCGGATGGCGATGGTGGGGCCCCAGACACCTACTGGAACAGCACAGGCTTCTTGGCCTGGTTGTATAATGAAAGGTGTGTGCTTTTGATTGGATTGCTGTCATGACCTTAAGCATTCCTAACACATGTGTAACAGTTTAATTTCCTTGCTTCTCGAAATATTTTTCAGGCTCATTTGTGTTATGGGGGAGGAAACCATTGTAAAGAATGCTTATCAGACATATCAATATTTACTCAAAATAATCAAGAGTTACAAATCAGGAGTCTAATACAAATCAGGAGTCTGGTTTTTAAAATCAGACTTAAAGATTACAGAATCAAGGACTTTGAGGATATTCATTTTGTGGGTCCCCATTTTCATCTCCTATTCTGGGGACAACGCTGTTTATTCATCATCCCTTTCTCATTATGTGCTTTTCAGTTCCTCTAATTGCTTCTTTTTATCCTTATTACCTTTGGTAATCTTTGCTTCTCGGACAATGTCATCTTTCTCTGTCTCCTCTTTTCCTTCATCGACAGTCTCTTCCTGTTCTTTCATCCAAGCTGCCCCATTAGAACAGGGAGTTCTGACTTAGTTCTTCTATAAGGCTCACACTATATGGACCACACTTATATTTCTGACTAGAAAGTATGTGGCATTGGGCTGTGAAGTTAGGGAGTGTCTTGCTCGTGTTCTCTGGGCCCACAAAGGGTTTGCACAGGCAAACCCTTTGAAGAGCTCTTGATATTTAACTGCAGTTTCTCTAGGTACTCCTTCCAAAAGAAAATATTGGTAGCCCTCTTCTTCATTTTGTGAACCCAAACTGTCCCCTCTACATGAAGAAGTGCAGGAAGTTCCACCTGCTACGATGAATAATGTCGTGGGGATGTTTCATGCCACAGTGAATTCCATGATGACAACAGTCCAATTTCCTGAGATTTTTCTTTTTTTAATTAATTAATTATTTGGGTGGGGGGAGGTAATTAGTTTACTTATTTATTTATTTTTGAAGGAGGTACTGGGGATGGAACCCAGGACCTTGTGTATGCTAAGCATGTGCTCTACCACTTGAGCTATACCCTCCTCCCTGAGATTTTTCAATATTAGGCACAATTGTAAGAGAAAGGCTAGAATATATGTATAAGATTATTCAGTCATAGGTGAAAAGAATGTCTTGAGTGGCCCTCGGTCTTGCCTATCACTCATGGCATGGGGGGTGGGGAACCTACAGATAATAGCATAATACTCCTGCAAGTGTTACGTGTGTT